CCCTCAAACAAACAGGAGGTCCTCTATAATAAACTATCACCAAAACAAATCTGGATTCCTGTGAGAATTCCTTTTTGTAATTGATTGTAGTATTAATGTTCCTTTCATAGATTGTATTCAGCTTCCATGGCTTCCTAAGTAAAGGAAGATTCCATGAGCAGTTTTTTTCCAGTGGAAAAAACTTTTCACAATTGAGGACCCCAAAACAATTTTTTTATTGAGAATCAGGTGCCTTCCTGGTCTACTACCTTGAAAATTTGTTTAGGAGCAATGTTTTATAAAGGGTTTAATTGGGGAATTGGTGGTTTTGGTCAGCTGTCAGTTTTGAAGAAACCTAGAGAAAGCTATATCAGCTAATGAATCATAATCATTGGCCTCAGAAGGGATTCAAACCCATATTAATTGGGGCTCCAATTTAAAAATCTAGGGCCCAAAAAAAGCTAGCATTATAGAGGTATCATTGTTCAAACAGGGGGGTCTGAATAAATTTGGAAAAATTAGCATTATAGAGGACCTATTTACTAATCAGGCTCCAAAACATTAATCTTAATTGGGGGGTTGGCCAGGCATTAACTAATGAAATATGGCTTTGATGCGCATGGACGGATGATAGCTGCATCATCGGATTTGGTGGTGAATCGCTTGCCATTGGTCCGCACACCAGCATCAGCATCAGGCATGTTCAATCAACATCACAAATATAACTTGTTAGCGCCTTGAATCTCGGGTGATTTAGGGGACACAATAAAGAATAAGCCATGGTTACGTGACTTTTGACCGCCAAACTGGGACCGGGACACGCTGGCGCATGAGCAGTGGCATGAGCATGCGTGAACCTTTTTACTGTACAGCAATTGAACCTATAGGACGAAAATACAATTCCAGTCGCTGTGCACAGACGCAGCTAATGCCCTTGCAACAGCAATAGTATCACCTTCCCCAGGGATGAAAAAGACCTCAAGCGATTACAAAGTGATGTTCCCGAATCACGCATGATTGGTATTGATTTAAGCTACATTCATGATTCATAATGCAAATCCACAAATGTCAGTCAACTGCTGTTGTTGATTTTGTTGCTTTGGGCTTTTCAGGTCGAGCACTGCATTGAACACTGTGGGTCCTTGCACTCCTACGCTGAGCACTGCGCGAAGCTCAGGCAGAGCTGGGTCCGACTTTTGCAAGGCATCACACGGTGCGTTTGCCCCTTTGTCGTTTGTATGTGTTTATATTTCATTTATTTCAGAGTCTATGTTTGCATTGAAACAATATATATATATATATTTATTATTTATATACATACATACCTATATATACATATATAATATTTTATTGTTTCAATGCAAAAGGAGTAGTTGCCACAGTCGTCAGCATACTGACTTACATGCCCTAGTTCCTGTGGAAATTGTTGGTCTAAAGGTTCCACATTCCATTGTTCAACTAGATTGGCTAATAGGCATGGGTGTTTGCATCGGGTGTTTGTGGGTAAGGTGAGCGGTTTCCAACTTTCAATATCCTTCCGGAATTTGACTCAGGCAGAAGAAAACACATCATTACATGGAATGTGCCACGGCATAAATTGAGTGCATGGTATGATACTGATTGGAGTGGTGTATGCGCAGGTTGGATTTGTTCAATCTTATGCGACTCTATGGCAGGATATGGCAGGTCTTTCCAAGCGTGTCAACTCCCAGAGTCGCAGGCAAGACTCAAAGCGGCTGCCGCATGCATGTTCTCCCAAGAACCTCTTCATGTCTTTGCGCACCTCGAAGTGAACGACCGCCAGGGCCTTCGAAGCGAACGCCGTGAACGGGCAGTCCGACTCGCCGATCAGGCGAGCTGAGGCGGGACGGGGGTTGGAGCGACGCGCAGCGGCGGGCGCCTCAGAGAAACGCCGCCCTTCGCAGGGAACGGGCGCGAAGCCGAAAAAGCCGCCCAACCCCGCTCGCGACGTGGAACCAACCCCGTTCGCCCTGCAAGGCCCAGCACAAGGCCCAGCCAGCGGCGCTGCAGGATGAGTCAGATGAACGGACTGCCACTGGGCAGAGGATGTGAGAGGACTGTCCTTCAAAGAGTTGAAGAAGTGGCTAAGTGGCTCTCTGGCTTTCAATTGGCCCATGAAGTGGTGATCAGATGGATGTTGACTTTGAGGCTAGGCAGTTTGGCTCCAAACAACCTGATCAGATCAAAGCAAAATGACCAAGCATACCGGTCATTTTTCCATACATTGTCCCACTGCCGCACATATTTATACATATATATATATTAATATATATATATATATTTATATTGTTGTGAGCAATGCCGGAAGATCGTTTTCTCACCCCTTCAGCCGGTTGCCCCAAAACCATGTGAAGCTCCCGTCGCACTTGGGTTTTGTTGTTGCTCCCTTTGCCCATTCATATCCCATATGGCCCTCCTCCTTTGACCTCGCACCTGACCAAGGTCATGAAGAAGATGATGTCCCCTGGCGGCCTGGGACCTCGCCGCGCTGAAATCTAATCACACCACGTCGTGTTGCTGTGATGGTTCAGAGGCGAACAGCGGGAAGAATTTGGGCAAGAAACGTATCACATGGAACATTTTATGACAAAGAAATGACTAACAAAATATGCAGTTAACAAGGATTTCAACGTCTTTTTGTGCTTGATTTGGGCTTGGGCACCTATCAAGGGGTCACATGCAATGTTGCGGGTGTTCACTTGAAGGAAGGAGCTCCATAGGGTGAACACCGAAGCTCAGCACCGATGGACGAAACGAGTTCTGCCTGCAGACACGTCCAATTTCTCGTGTCAAGGGTCCGCTGGTATACAATGGAGTAGGCCCTAGAAGTCCAGTGCCAAATTGGTCCAGTGTTTTGACCGGTTCTTCAATTGTTAAGTTCGTGTTTGAACCATTGGAACGTTCGTGTTAGATGGAGGTTCTTCATTGCCTCGTAGGGTGATGTCCTAGGACGGACTCGGGGACTCGGACCGGTTTGCTCAATGGAGAGTAGTGGGTGAATAGTGGTGATCTCTTTCCTAACAGATGTGTAAGGCAAACCTGACCGGCCAAAGCTGTTGTGATCAATGACTGTGCGAGGGTTTAATATGATTGGCCTCACGACCTTGGCAGGTTGCCGTTGATGACGATTGATGAGAAGAAGGCTGCCAAACGGCACCTGTCGCATGAAGACCGTGCGGTACGGTGCGCTTGTATATAGGACTGGGTTTGCATGATTGACCATGATTAATTTAGTAGGATGTCCGGTCCATGTCCATGGCGCTTTGGTGTGCCGGAAGCCAACGGTTTGCTATCAAAAGGTCAATTCTGCAGACTATCCAGCTTGGTGCTCTCGTGAAGCTATGTTGTCAGAGAGAAAGCAAATCGGACAGTCGATTTGGAGAAATGGTTGTGGGTCAAATTTACACCACCCAAAAAGTAGGTTGATAACCCTGCGCCGGTATGATGGTGACCGAGGTGCCCTACAACCCCACAAGCGCCTCTTGGCAGTGCATGATTGGCTGTGGCTATGGGGGTACTTCTGATGAACCTGAAGTCCAAGGTGGAAAACATGAAAACAAGCACCAACATGTTTCAGGGTCTCAGCAAAGGGGATGGCCCTCCCTTTTTTTCAGCTACCCCAAAGAGATTGCAAGCAGTGGGTTGACGAGTTGAGGAAAACAGCTCGTTGATTGCACCCCGCGACCTGCTGAGCAGGTCCATTTACAGTGGTTTCAGAGGTTCGATGGCACTGGCACCCCTACATGTCATTTAGATGGGTATCAACCACCAACCACCACCTTGGGGGCCCAGACGTACCATCGAACCTCTGAACCCAATCCAACACGTGACAGACTTCCAACACGGACGCCACGTGGTGGAGCCACGAGCAAAGTTGGTCCACTTCAACCAGCTAAAGTAACGATATATGTCACATGTCACATATGTCCTTCAACTTTCAGACACAAATCCCGGGAGGTTGGAGGCTGATGGACCCCGATGCTGGTCAGGGTTCTTTGTGTCTGAACTGATTCGAGCTGACGCGCTGCTGCTGCTACAACTGTTGGACTTTGGATGGTTTTGCCGGAACTGCTGGCGTTCTCCTGACATGCGTGGGCCAGAAACACCTGGTGTGTGAAAGAATGCCTTGCGTATGCTTGCAACGTGGTGAAAATCATCCAGCATCCCTCGAGCCGGGCCCGGGGGGGTGGCCATCCGGACGGTCCGTGTTGTGCTGAACGCTCGCTGCGCTCGAGGCGGGCGAGGAAGCAGGCTTTCAGGTGCACGGAAGCTTGGAAGAAAAAGGGCCTTAAAGCATGGTCACGTATTGACTAGTAGCCCTTGCTACCGCTCTCAAGAGAACTTGAGGAGCACTTGGGGGGAACCTAGGAAACCTGTGGATATCCACACAAGGGTATGATCGTTGTATGGTCACATAATGTAGACTCTTGAGAACCATACACCCCCCCCCATATGAAGAGGATGTCCAATTCCAATGGGTGGGGTTTATTAATCTGTCTACATGATTGTTGGACTAGGTTATGACTAGATGCAAAGACATGCAAAGTCAGATAAGTTGCCTTGAAATGAAATGGCTGAAGTGACCGGCGCAGTTTGGGTCATGGGACCCATGGGATGTCTTGCCTGAGGCCGACGCCCACACAGCTGAGAGACTTTCGATCTTTGTTCGGAAACCAAGGATGAGAAACCGAGAAGAAACGAGAAGAGATTTGGAGTGGATTTGGTGGAGAAGAAACGCGCAGCTTTTCGATCTGCAGGGCTTTGACATGCGTCCGTTGGTGACGTTTCAGGCGTGCGACTCCGGTTGCGCCCTCTCCGGTCCGCCCCTCCAGTTCTGTACCCACCGGGTGTTCATGCGATTCCATGGCTTAGTCTTAGTGTGTATGTTTTAAACTGTTTAACACCTCTCAAGGGACATCAAGGGACCAAAACATGAGTGCTGAAAAAGAGTTGCTCCAACCCTGGAGTGATTATTTTGGTGCTCCAAATAGTTCAAAATTGCAAACAAAACACACATACGTTTGAGCACCCCCACGCCCAGCCATTGTCCCAAACATATGAATGTACATGTTGTATACTGACCTTCATGATCGATTGCGCCCGAATTCTGCGGGTAGGGTCCGGTCCTTCGGATGCCACACCCAGGTTGCGCTCCTTGGGCTTCCGTGCCACTGTGAGGCGCACGGCCAGCCGTGAAGATCCAAGAAAACATGAAGCCATCCGCAACAAACCTTGCAAACCAGCCCTTTCTTTGCTTCATCAGATGTTCATGAATGAGGTGACACCGGCAGTTGTATGCAATTGTGACTTGTCGGATCTGGTGTTGATGTGCTTGAAGGACCATGGGATCGACGTCACCATGCTTCAAGTGTTTGAAGCACCTTCGGTTGAACATCACCACTGGTGGAACTGCTTGACTTTCTCATCGTCCGCCTGCGACACGCTCGGGCGCCGCGGGGGGTCGGACCATGCGCCAGGTGGAGCACGACGGAAGGCGAACGCAGAGCGTCGAGTCATTGCAGCGTGTACGCGCACAGTGCAGGAAGTGGCCTGAACGTGCAGGACACCGAGTCATTCAGGTTGATGATGTTGATGTTCTCAACGTGTTTTTTTCTTTTGGGGAACGGTTGTATCACTGGCGCACAGTGCAGGGACACGACGTGGCCTGAATCGCTGTTCGCTCGGCCGGTTGTCATGAACGGGTTGGGAACTGTGCGGTGGCCGTGTTTTTGGAACGGGGTTCCATGGTTTCGAAGCATGTTGAGAATTGTATCCCAAACTTCAAGTGATTTGACTCGGCGTGATTTGCTTATAGACTTCGAAGATCCGGGCAAGTGATGGTGATGGTTGTTGCTGCATGTTCATGTTGAAACTGCAGGCTGTTTGCCACCCAGCAACCAGTTGCCAAAGTGCGCAAGGTAGACCTGCAAAAGCTTTGTGGGAGTAGCTGAGCCTGACAAGGACCCCCATTTCAGACCAAGGGTCTTGGGCAGTTTGGGAACTAGACGTCAACATTACGCTTTATGATTGGAACAATGTGTGCTACACCCTTCTGCCACTGCACTCCAGTTAGCCCAAGGGTTTATATATAGTTATAGTTATATATATAGGGGGTGTGAGATGGAGGACGCAGAAGTTCCAGAACCTCCTTGCTGGAAGATGGAAAAGCAATCAGAATTCCGTGAAATTGAGTGTCGTGGACCCCCCAAACAACGCTAGGCCGTGTCATGGGCGCTGCCTGTGGCCAACTCGCGGCACGTGGGCAGATGCCGGAGGCGCGAGGCCACGGCTAGGGGCGCTGGGCTTGGTTAGGCCTCCTTGCGCCATCCTCACAGACCAAACACGGAAAAACATCTCCAGAATGGGGTGGATCCACTGGGTTGGATGATTCATATCACCTAACCTGCAAGCCCTAGAGCCCAGATCCACCAGGTTGGATGTGATCGGCTGTCTTCGCACCCTCTTCCCTCCCCCCCGCAGGCGGAGCACACGGTGGAGACCACGAACCGAGCGCCCGGACGAACCGCTGCCCAGCTGTCACGGCCTCGGCCGCAGACCGAGGCCGCGCAGGTCCCAAGTGGTTTTTGGTTCGCTCAGACCAGCTCCTTGCTACTAGTATATAGCTAGCTTCTTGTTACTAACTAGTAATTAAGGGCCTGCAACCTACTTGCGATGGCCTGCACCTAATAATTACGGTCCTTGCTATCTCCAAGAGTAATAGTAAGATTCCTGAGAGTTCTTCGAGCCGGTGGGATGGGCAAAGTTGTGACAAGTTGTGATGATTAAAAGCTTTGCCATGGGCCAAGGTGCATAATAAAATATGCACGCAACATGAATCTACAATATAGGAAGCACACTGAGCACGGCAGGATAGCACTCTGCAACCGGGCAAGTTCAAGTTCAAAGCACGATTTGGTTCCAGGCCACCATGGGCGACTGTTGTTAAACCTAGAACTTCCTAGAACCCAAAGCTTGATGTGCCCCAAAAAGGCCTACAGAACCGCACGGACGTCTGGACGTCTCGACCGCACCTTCTGAAGATGCACGCAGCTGAACTGCCACCTCAATAGGGCACCCATCAGAAGTCCGTTGGGCGTTCTGTGTTTCTGTTTTCGTATGGGCTACTCCAGTGCCCGAGGACTTGGACGATCCACCGGGCCACCGCGGAGGAACGCCCGTGGTGACCGGAGCCACCGTGGAACATTCGGGTGGTTGGCGTCTGGGCATTCGGGTGGTTAGGCACCAGGGCATGGCCGGCCTTGGCTTTATAGACTGAATGATGTTTCCAAGGGTGGGCAGTTAAACACCAAGGACATCCAAGGACAACACCTGTTTTAATCCAGTGTTTTTTCCGCAGGAGGATCTGAAGTTGGATTTGATCTTCTAATTCGAGGGTCTAGACTAGACCAAGCTTGAATGCTCTTTCCCTAGAAATTCAAGCCTGGAAAGAGTGTTCGTTCTGGTCATTCCAATACGACTCAAGCCTTTGCACCATTTTGCACCCATCAATGACTCATGGCATTCAAACCGCCTGGAGACCTTTTGCCGGGCCCTAAGACCTGAGTATCCCTGCGCAGCCACCGGCCACCGGCTCGCAGGAGTTGCTGGTGCTCTTGCAGGAGCATGAGTCCGGGGGCTGAGCCCGGAGGAGCAGGAGTGTCCCAGTCAGTGGGAAAACCTGAGGAGGATTTGCACAGGAACATGTCTTTTCTATGACGATTCGTTGAACAACCAATGTTTGGGCATGTTTTGCCTGCAGGATCGTTCCTCATTAATGGTTACAACTACATTCGGTCTATTTTTGCTGTTCATGGATGTTTGGGGTTCTAGAACAATGGACTTTTCAGTTGAAGCGACTTTGGTAGCGGCCATTGCATTGTTGCCAGCGGTGATGAAGCTCAAGTGGGTAACTTTCTAAGTCGCAGTCGCATCAGGTGTTGCTGTGCCATCCTGTGAATTGTGGTCATTTGGTTGCACTGTGAAGTTGTCGTTCCAGATCCCTTTCATGGTTTGAGCCGTGAATGATGAGCTTGGTGTGCAAAACTTTGGTCCTGGCTTCTAAGAACCTCAGGAGCCCTCGCAAACGAAGACGGAACAAGTACCAGGACCTTCAAAGTGACCTCTTTGGAGTCTACAAGTGACCTTGTACAGACCTAAGTGACCTCATCCTGGGATATCAAAGGGTCACTTTGAAGGTCCTGGTAGATCACATCCTCCCAGAACATCCCAGAACTTGGTGGTCGAATTGATTTGCCTAGTGGCCTAGTGGAAGGGATGGAGGCCATAGGATGCCCCGCCCGTGTGGTGGGAAGCCCTTGTCAGGTGCACTTAGCCCTGCTCTTAGCTGTTGGTTCATTTAGTTTCATTTAGAAGGACCAGTCGATTTCAGGCAATCTCTAGGGGGATCGACTTATACTTCCCATCTCCGTCTAGTCGATCCCGGCACTGTTTGCCCAAGGTCTGTGTTGAATGGCATCCATATCAGTGTCTCCGCCAAGTTTCCAACTGCTGGTCGAACAGATTTGAACAGCGTGGCACAAGGGAAACGGAACGAATGCAAAAAAAGATTTACTGTAATTATTGTAATTATAAGGCTTAAGAACATGTTTCTCATGTTTCTCCTCCAGGCGTCCCTGTAGGCTCTAGGATCTCTAGGTGACATGGCAGGTGCACCATGTCCCAGCATGTTCCGGGTTGTGATTTGGATGCGCAAGACTTGGTGAGCGCACTTGGCGAATTCTACGGAGTATAGGTCCCTTTCGAAAAACTTGCAACACGCACCCGTGCCAGCCAGATTAAGCCTTTGAGGTTCTAACGCCACAACACCTTAAAACCAGGAGAGCCACCCAATTTTGTTGTTTATGTCGCACATTCATCAAACATTAATTAAATCCATGGCGCTGCGTGCATACGACGGTCTTCGTTGAAACTCCGGCTTTGGGATGTACGACGTAAGGGGTCTGATGTTTGTGATGTTTGGACGCTTGCTTAGATTTGTGAACTCCTTGCAGGTTGATCCAGTTGGCTGTTGCTTCCAGGTGCAGCTTTCATGACGCTGGCTCGTGCCGCGCGGGCAGCGAGAAGGGCCGAGGTGGTTCGGGGCTGAGAGAGAGAGAGAGGGAGAGAGAGGGAGCGAAGAGGAGAGATGCAGCGAGAGGGTCAAGGATGCTTGTATCGGTCATAGAGTCATACAGCATAAAGTCTCCGGCTGTCTTGTTCACAGACGGTCAAACATATTGCCGTGGATATGCTCGGTGAAAAACTCTCCGTTCCACCTTTTTTCTTGGGCAGTCGTCTCAAACTACCGGCTTCAGTGGCCACTCGCCACCAGTGACCCAGGCCCGCTGGCGTCGGGATGAAGGCTTTGCTGCGTTGCTCCGACGAGTTCAGGCAAGGTGCTGTGGGAAGTGCAGGCTGAGGGCGGAGGATTTGAGATAGACTCACTTTTTTGGTGACAGACATGTGACCAGGGTTTGTTGACTGAATTTATGATTGGAGGAATCGCCTGATGATGGCGTTTGCACTTCGGTTTGGGAGCCCTTTATTCATCCAAGGTTGCTGCGCAGTCAGGAGGAGAACATTGGATGGTCAAGAAGGGCTACATGACATGGCACCCAAGTTGTGGGCCGTCCATGCCATTAATGCTAACAAGCTGGAAGCTCACACTCACAAACTGTTTTGAGGGCCTGGTTCTATGCCAGAGAGATTATGCAAGACATTCCCTGGAGGGTCTTTTGTTGGGGCTCTCCTACACCCCGTGATGATCATTTTACTGCAGTAATCCTTAATATAATATGTAACTCAGTTGGGATATATTATATAGATATAGGGCAATGATTTGTACTCAATGTTCATGCATGTTCATGCAATATACCAAACATATAATTCCCATTGAGACACTGAGTGACCATTTGGGTGTTCCCCCAAGGGTCCAGGCATCACCGACATGCAACGGGCTCACAGGAGCTGGAGGACTTGAGTGCCCAGTGCTTGGCTGGGGCCGCCTGGGGCCTGCCGGTGTGCTGCATTCAAGTCATACAGGAAAAGAGGGGATCCAATTTGATTGATTTGTTTGATATTGCAATTACGTGTCATAAAATGTCACATGTTCTTGAGAGCTAGCAGCTAGCATGTTTGCTTCGCATGTGCGTAGCAAAGGAATGTGGGGGATTCTCTGGTTTGGAGCCTTGGTTTGTTGAAAGCAAGGTGTCAGGTTTGAGGCTTATATGAGGAACAGCGTGAGCATTCCTTCGCACTTGCATCGGGGCTCCATGGGTTTCTGCTGTCATGTTGACCAATCCTCGCTGGCCAAGGCCAACGTCATCTGGTCCTTGGCCAAGATCGGCCACAAACCAGGCACACAATGTTCGATGTGCGGAGGCGTGTGGTAGATATCATGATAGAGACTCCCAGATAGCTGGTCTCAGAGAGTGGAGCTTTCTCCGGCCAGCACAACCGCTGCTTCGTTGCAACTTGCTATTTTGTGCAATATACCTGCGGCTCATCCGGTTGCTGCTTTGATGATGATGATCAAGCTAATTGCTGCTTTGCCCAGACCAAGTGACAACAGGCAAGCACGACTGCGCTGTGACACCCAGACCCCCAGGATCGAAACTGCCAGGTAGGGCACCCCATTTCGTGTCAATGAGCATCCAAGACCCCTAGTAAGCCTTCAATTTTCAAGAATCAAAGTAAAAAATCATCGATGAGCTACTCTTCAACAATTGGGCACATGTCAAGTCGCCAGTAGCCCGCACAAGCGCCCAGCAACAAGTCCCACGATCAGGGCACGAGCTCTTGAGTTCTTTGTGCCAGAAGGCGGAGTTCGGAAGCTCAGAGCTTGAAACCTCGGAGTTGTTGGTAGCTGTTGGGATGCTTGGTGTTTGAGCAGAGATGAGATGGGAAAATGAGCAGACCAGGCTGAGTGTTCAGGTGTTGAACCCTGCTTCGCCCAATACGGTGCAGCAAGAAGACCAGGCATCAGGCATCAGGCGAACGCCAGCGGTCAGCATTCGGACCTGGGGCTCCACAGACCGAAGGAGTGACCGTTCGGCCAAACCGAGTTCGCCGTATTTCGCCGTAAGACCTGGGGTGTTTGGCCCCCTTTTTCTTGAGCTCCACATGCTGTTGCAAGACCTTGGACACTTCCGTAGATAGCTGTACAGCCCGGCAGCTCTTTTCGCACGACGCGTCTGAGAATTGAGAATCAGGTTCGAGTTGGAGCACTTTTGGCCGCGGAATCTGGCCCTGGACTTGGCCCGGCTGTTACTGTATGTGTGTGTAACATATGACAATACAATCTATGTATATATCATTGTATATCCTTGATTTGCTTTGATGGATGCTGGCTGGACTGATGTCATGTTCCTTTCTGCAACCCCTCCAGAGAAACGCTTTCTCCAATGCCTGTCTCCAATTGCTGGTTCAAGCCATTTCGATTGTCGGTTCGCCAGATGCACTTACCAATTGCTGGACTCAAGCATTGGCCGTTGGGTCCAACATGGGGCGGCAACTCCGAGGCCAACACCTTGTGGAGCCTTGCACGCTTGCAAGGGGCAGGCATGGAGAGCTGGCACAGGTGATAGTTGCCCAGTTTTCGGTGTAGTCACGAAAGCTAGCATGCTAGCTGAGTTCTTCTTTGCTTTAGCAATGTTGTGGTGGGAGGGGCTGCGTGCCTTAAAGATTGATATATCAAGCTAACCCCCCCCCCCCGCGGTTCAACTCCCAGCTGCGCCGTGTAGGGGGTTGGTTGAACGTGTGAACGTGGTTGGTTGGGTGTAAACGGTGGCTTGGTGTAAAGGGTGCTGCTGCTGCTGCCGCTCTGCTGCTTGCTGCTGCTGTTTGCTGCTGCCGCTGGTTGCCGCTTTTGTAGCTGCTGCTTTGCTACTTGTTGCGGCTTGATGCTGCTGCTACTGTTGCTGACGACGCCGCTGCTACTGCTGCTTGCTGCTTGCTGCTTGCTGCTGCTGCTTGCTGCTTGCTGCCGGTGGTGCTGTTGCTGCTGCGGCTTGATGCTGCGCTGCTGCTGCGTGGTGCTGCTGGCTGGCTGCTGGTTGGTGGTTGCTGCTGGCTGCTGGCTGCAGGCGGCTGCTGCTGGTGCTGCTGCTGCTGCTGCTGCTGGCTGCTGCTTGCTGCATAGGACTTGTACTTCACCGTAACAAGTTGTTTACCCCTATTTCTAACCTAATGCATGCATAAGCGGGTGGTAAATTTACCCCCCAGGCTTGCTATAACCATGCACCGGCTATTTCCTCAAGACACTCTATTCTTGATACCTTTTACCAGTGCTTATCCTACACTACGGACGCCCTAGTGTATGCACAGTCCTTGTGATGCTTACCCCTCGTTCCGGCTCAAGGCATACATAAGCGGGGGGTAAATTTACCCCCCAGATTTGCCATAACCATAAGCCGGCTATTTCCTCAAGACACTCTACTCCTTATACCTTTTACCAGTGCTTATCCTACACTACGGACGCCCTAGTGTATGCACAGTCCTTGTGATGCCAGAAATGCTTACCCCTCTTTCCAGCACAAGGCATACATAAGCGGGGGGTAAATTTACCCCCCAGATTTGCAATAACCATACACCGGCTATTTCCTCAAGACACTCTATTCCATATACCTTTTACCCGTGCTTCTCCTACACTACGGACGCCCTAGTGTATGTACAGTCCGTATGATGTCAGAAATGCTTACCCCTCTTTCCGACTCAAGGCATACAAAAGCGGAGGATAAATTTACCCCCCAGATTTGCCGATCACGCATCTTCGTGCCTGCCAACGAGTGCACCCGGGTTGTTCCAATGTACCCTTCCCAGTCAGCGATGTCACATTTACATTCTTTAGCGCAAAGTATGTACATAGCAACCTTCCTCCCAAAACCTGTAATCCCTACATGCTTTGCCGACTATGTAACTAGTACATCCGGTGCGATTCGGCTAGCTTTCGACCTCTCCCCCTGGCCTCAAGTCTACGTAAGTTAATCCTTGGACAGGTTGACATCCTGCTGTCTTTGAACATTTTTGTCGGGGCAGATGGACGTTCTTGACCTATTACCTATTTTGACCTGTTGCTTGTGTTTGAGCTTACAAATGGCCACCACAGTGATGACTGCTTGAGCTTACACATGTATATAGATAGAATTAATTATATAGATAAAGCCACTCCACCCTCCTGCGAGGTGCAGAATCTTTCTTGGCAGCAGCTGCGCGGGAACACAGCGGAGGGCCCATTGATGAACAACGGTGTTGTTCCAGTTCTGAAGGCCTCCAGTAGCTGAAACACATGCAAAATTATCCAAATGGCACCTACTTCAGCCAACTGCTGTAGATGGGTGCCACCTGCTGCCTGCCTCAGAAGACGACAGGCGATGCTTGATGAGGGAACCACATGCCTGTCCAGACCATGTCACGCCATGACCAAACCAGGTGCATCGCTTGCCTCTCATGGCGGCGAAGATGACCCCGCCCGAGCTGGTCGGACCAGCCCAGGGGAGGGTGAAGGACCAGTGGTTGCGAGAGGCTATAGCTGCATATCGTTTGGTGTTCGGTTGCCCAATCAAACTCCATTTCCACCTTTTTGGACCTGTGGGACCTTCCTTTTGCACCTGCTTGGATTCACCTGACGCGCGTGGCCTTCGTCCCCGGCCGAGACCAACAGCTTGTGGGCGCTGGCACGCTTGCGTTTGGTGCTTGGCGGGGAGCTGCCCTGGTGGCACGACTTGGATCAATGACCCTGATCGGTGGGTGGTGTCGCCAAATATGAAGGATCGCCCAACCATTCAGGTGTTCATAATGTTTCATATATCATCCCCATGTGCCATATTGGCCATATGTACTAGTATAGCACACCACACACACACATATCTTTGCACTAGTCCTTGCACTCTAATTCTGCACTGCTTGTTTCTTTGGCGCACCTAACCCTCAGACCGATCTCAGACCTCTCTCGACACATCTGCATGGAGGCGTCAGCAACCCGTCGACCGAGGCCTTGAACCGTCCGACAAGGTCTTGGATGGCGCCGCTCGGAAGTTGCGGAGCTAGGAGAAGACAAGGTGTTTGTTTGGACAAGGGTTGTTTGGGCAATTTGTAGGATTACCAAATATGATACATATATTAAGTTGTTTTATTTGGTATGTGAGCTGCAGGTGCTCAGATTAATAACTGGGATTGTTATGATGTATTGTTTGTTCAGCGAACTGGAGAAGAAACGGAAACTATACTGGTAATCTTTGCGTTGTAATTTGTAATGAATTACTGAAAACAAAATCAAAGCTCTATTGCTTTGAAGTCCCTGGCATAATGGTATGCCAAAGGTTGCACTTTCGCTTTCTAAATCACTTTGCAAGTGGATTGGCGTATTGGCAAGGGAATGCAACAGTAACAATCTATGCGTCTCAACACGGATACAGTAGTGTTACTTGTACTATCTAAAGGGGTCATTGTATCTAATGGCAACCACCCAATAGGTATCCATGATAACATATGTGATTCAGCAAAACTCGATGTTTATACTGTATACGCATTATGTATCCAAACGATATGGAACCAAAAACTCTTTGCACCAAACGTCGAGTCTTTTCTTCCAGCCTCAGGTCACCGCTTCGGCGTGTCCTGAGCGGTGGAAGCCGCAGGCCGAGCCTCCGCCGAGCCTTCGCCGAATGTGGAAGCCGCCGTGACGTTGAGCTTCAACTCAGGGGTGTCCTCGGAATTCGAGGGTTTTGCATTCAAGTGTTTGAGGGTTTGACTTCAGCATGTTGTGAGGAAACCATGAGGAAACCATGTGGGGCATTTTGAGATATTATTTGCCTCGTCACGCCGAAACCGCGTGCCTTGCTTGCCTTTGTGCAGGACATCACCAATGCCTTGTGGGCATTCTCGGTTTGAAATCCCAGTTGGGTTTGGATTCAAAAGCAGTTGGGCCTGTTTCTTTGCAGAGGAAATCCTCTTGAAATCCTGGAGGAGCTTGTGTGTTACGTGGTCTTAGATCTTCCAGGACCGGACTGTACAGAGTTGAGGGCTCTGACCTTCATTGTGCAGCTGATTGATAATAGGAAGAATATGGAAGAATATGGATATGCAATGATATGCAAGGATAGGACAAGGATGAGAACAAAACAAGCTGAGCGGACATGCACCCTGTGTTGGCTTGCAGCATCGTTTTCCTATCTTATGTGACTTTCCTTCTCCACCAAAACTCAGCTGGATGTGGGCACCGCAACATCTCAGGTGCTTCAGTATCAGCCCTCCAGCCGCATCCTCAGGGCATGCAAGAACAACACCATATCGCGGGAGGCCAGGGAGATTTGTTCAAGAATTGCACGGGAACACCTGTAATGTAGACTCTTGATTAAAATAAACCCCCATATGAAGAGCATGTCCAATTCAAGTGGGAGGGTTTATTAATCAAGAGTCTACAATACTTTTTTTTGTTGAATCCCGGTTCGGTTGATGGAAGCCCCTCGTGATTTTGTTCAGCTCTTTTAGAGCCGGTTCCGCCACCGGAGGATGGGCAATATGGGGAGACAACGCCGACATTCATTCAACAAGACCCTATAGCCGACATGCAAACATGAGACAAGAGATGCAGAATGCCAAACTGACGGTGGTTTTTCACACAAATTCACAGGTCAGTTTGAAGATTAGGATCAGGGCAGAACAGCAAACACAAAGCATGTTCTCCTTGGACCTTGGAGGAGCAACACTGCGATTCTATAGTTGCGGGGTCCTCACAAACCATCGACATTCCAAGATATGTAGGTGAAAAGTCCACACTCAAAAGCCAGCAATCCAATGAACTACAGTAATCCAATGGGTATAGCACGGGTATACCTGGTTTGTGCATGTTTGGAGTTGGACCGCCATCCCGGAACCCAGAGCTTCATGGAGCGCACTGAAACCTCCTTGATGAGGCCGCTTGGGAGCTGTTGGGCTAAGTCTTAGACGCCTCACCAAGTGTCCTTTTCTCGGAGGGTCGGAATTTGGAAGAATCAAATCCCCTTCACCGGTCAAAAATATTCAACAATGTTGTGATGCTAGCATTGAAGAGAGATGTGAATGTCAAGGTCGTTGCCCAGTTGGTCGTTGCCCTGCGACCCTCAACAGCCACCAATGGCCAATGGTTACAGTTATTGGGTGTCCACTTGAGGTTGCCACAGTTCTGCTAGTACAGACTAGGTCCATCTAGGTCCTAGGTGTCAGTTTCTGTCGTCATGTGTTTCACGATGCGGAAGACAGACGGCTTTAGCTGCAATCTAAGGGAGGAAGCTAGCCTATGGTGTTGTCTAACACCTCGGTAACAAATTTGTCCAAGCAGACACAATCAGGGCATTTTTTGCACAGATGGTACTGTGTGGTTTCTTTTCCTTGGAAGATTCCGCTGCATCAACTTTTCCACCGGTAGGGTGTATTTCAATTTGTGTGACTGCTGAAACTCCATAAGCAAGAAACTGAGAGTTCTGGTTTGGGAACCTGTATTCTCACCCTCGAAACAAGAACAACGGGCATGACAAACTGCTTAGGGTCCCACCTTTTGACCATGTAGGAGACCAGTTGTCCATCGCGTGGCTTCCACCGCTACGATTGTCCGTCCAGGACTTCACGTGTGGATCACCACCGAGAACGACGTTTCCGGTGGGATGCCGGAAGCGCGATAGTCCTGGCAGAGCTTTGCATCTCGTGCTTGGGGCTGGAAAGCCTCGGTGCCTTGATCCGACCCTTTGTTCCTAAGACTGGTTGACTCTTCACTTAAGTGAGCCCAGTCAACCCAAGTGGGAAGTGTAGTCGTCATTGAGGTGTCAGCACGCCTAGACTTTTTTGTGGAAACTGGGATGATGTCGTATCACATAGTGTGACTAAGATAGTCAATGGCAGCAATTCGCAGCAGTTGAATCCTGGTTTGGCGGGACGTTCGAGCAGGGCAAGCTTGATGAGTAAGGCGAGTAAGGAAGGAGACGTGATAGCGTCCCATCCTGACTTGGCATCTGGAGTTGCGCACCGGGCGGTCGCCGAGAGCAGTTCATGCTTGAGGACCAGGGTTGGACATTATATGGTGTTCAAAAACTACTATTTTTTGAGGGCTTGTTCATGCAGCCGGTCCTCCATCAATAAAAACTAAAAAGGCAGATGGAGCGACCCAGTGGATGCAATTGAATAGTAGCCCAGGCGGACTTGGGGTGGCTGAGTCAGCAAATGTGCATTCTTGCCGAAGCTACGTGACGGATTCGTGTTGATCTCGTAAAATGTTAGTTTCACTTTGAAAGGGCAACCGGTTCGGCAAAAGGTGAATTCTTGAGCCGTTTAAGGAGTGAGTTACAATCGTGAGACGTCACCATGGTGAAAGGCTCGATGTGGCCTTGGGCCCAGGCTGATAGGTCATGCGGCATACCAGGCTAACAGGTCACGTTCCAATCGAAAGCGGATGACAGCTGCAAGGTTGTGAGTGTGTCAAATGATTCTGACTGTTCATAGCCATGGGATCTCCAAGTGAGCATCACTGTAGACCCACATCATATGTGTTTGAAGTGCTGCAGAACCAACAGGTAGACATGCCGCAAATGCCTTTGCGTATTCAAGTAATATGGAGATGACAGGGGGGGTACCCCCACTTCTTGACTGCACCAGGAAGAAAAACTAACTTCAAGAAGCTGCCTAAGTGCCTTTTAAATCGGGAATTTCCAGCCGGGTAGGCTTGCAGAGCACGGATCCCGGTTTGCATCGCTTGGTGTTCATGAGTGTTTTAGCCCAAACTTATTGCAGTGTCGCAAGAGTTGTGAATGCCATTAGCGGGGACTGCCAGTTGCTTCAGATGGGGTGGTTTCTCTGACCAACCCGGTCTATTCTCAAGACATGCATCCAATTAAACATAGAGTCGGCCCCAGGGTAGGACTCGACATGGCCAGGAGCGAGGGAGCCATGGCGCCGGTGAACGATTTCAGTGGCTTACGGCGTAAATTCTGCCCTTCAGCTCAACACATGCTCAGCCTGTTCAATCAATCAGGTAACTGCCACAGCATCAGCAAAAACATGCAAACACCAGCGAGAGTGAGCACACATGGGGACTTGGGGGTATCAAGGCCATGCTGAGATGTGTGCACACTGGCAGTCACCCTCCAATCAAATCGACTGGGCATGTTGTGGGCACAGAAAGTGGACCAAACAGAAATTGAGACTGCACAGGAAGTGGACCAAAACCAGATGCTGGAAACCCAAATAATAATAAGCCCACCTTGCTCCTAACAAACATAGAAGTGGCCGGCATTGCCCCCTAGGAACGCTGACTTGCTTGACAAACTGGTCAGGGCCTGCGTCCATGTTTGCCCAAAAGAATTGCTCAACGATTAGGGCTCCATCAATCAGAGCTGGTCTTCATCGTAAGAGGACAGGCTTCACAATGCCGTGTAAGTTCGTTTCATCTCTTAGTGCGTTTCATCTCTTAGTGCCAGATCTTCAGCTCATGATCCACTGGCAGCTCGCGAGGAAGCTGCACGCGAAGCTGGCCAGTGCGAAACAAACACTTGGTTGAGAGCCACAGACCGGCCACTGACATCATCCCACGTCATCCGAGACGGCCACTTGGGCCAAGCCATTCCACGTCTCGCGGTGTTCGTGGCACCGGTGAGAAAGCCGTCCTCATGATGGGACAGGTGTGATGCTCCATGAGTTGGCGATGGAGGACCATGAAGCTGTAGGATATTTGTTTCAAGACTATGCAAGATTTTTCTCCTAAGCTTGACGTTTGACATGATTAGGTAGAAAAATCAAAGACACTGAAAGCAGACGAACTCACGCAGAGCTTGTTGGTCGCAACTCCTGGAAAGACATGAAATGCAGACTAGATTTGCTTGCGTTACCTCGGGGGCCATTGGCTGTTGACAATTTACTATCCCAGAAACATGCAGTGTGCTGGTCTAGCACCAAGAGATCATTGACACAACTGCTGTCCTTCTAGCGGAGCATCGCCGACAAGTCCTCCACTTTAAAGTGCACAGCCGAGTCAGTAGATCGAACTGTTTGAGCAGGTTACAATATTGAAATACGGATGAACAGATTAGGTCGATTAGGTGAACACATTTCCCAAACTACGTCCATGTTCAAGACACTTCCGTTTAGCCTGAATTCACACATCCCCTTTGATGCGGCTACATGGAAAGGCCTTCATAGGGGTTCTTATGTATGTTGTTCCTGCACATCCATAGCCCGCGGCGATTTTGCTTTGTAAACAATCTGTTTGGCAGTCAGGCCAGTTTACGGCGACACATGTCCATGGGCAAATGCTGAATCAATAAGTGTTGGTTTGACGCATTAATCAACGAGCCAATCGGCGAGTTGTTTGAAAATGTTAGGCCAGCAGCCCATGCTGTCGCTTGGCCTCGAAGTGGTCTTCGCCAGTACGTTAAGTCCGAAGTGCTGGAGATAAATTCGTTCGAAGGGGTTGTCAGCCACCTGATGGCCAAGGCAGTGACGCAGAACTGGTGTTGTAAATTGAAAAGCCCGTGCCAACCGCTAATCAGCTCGGCGGTTGGTGCATGTCAATCGCGTGCTTTGTGCGTCTATGCGCTCAGTTTTGGAGAAAACCCATTGTTGTCAAGTTCTGTTTCTTAATCTCGCAGGAGGCGCAACAGAAGCAGCAGCTTTGTTGAGATGTTTGAACACCTTCTTCTACTATAGATTCTTATAGTCTTCGATTTGACATGATTCAACATGTTAGACCTGAAGAGGCCTTGAGGATGACCTCCAGCTTGGAATGTATGGGTCGTGCTATGTCCGCGATGCCATCCTCATCCTCCCAATACTGCTAAGCATGACACAGAGTTCACTCTGTTTGTGGGTTCCTCAGTTGAGTTTGAAACCGTTCAAAACTACTTGACGACTTCACCGTTCTTGGCAGTTATTGTAGAATGATGCAGAATGCCTTCAAAATTCCAAAATTAAAATGGACCAAAGTGGGAACTACTTGAGGTGACACTTGAAACACCTAACCACATCAAGATCATGAAAGATTGCTCTAAGCCCTAAGCCTATTGGGAGCACTGATGGGTCTAACCAATTCCTTTTGGGCCCAACCTTGCATAGAATGCCCAGCCATCTTCGCTTTGAAAGATAGCCGAACCGAACCTGTGATGATGCAACCATGACATCAGATGTGAGCATTTTGCTTTGGTCTGGGCTCACTTGAGCAGCCACACTTCATTTGTCCCAGTTCGATCAGTCCAGCACATCAATGTGAGAGAGAGAGAGAGAGCAACGACGGAGAACCCAGTCAAGCTGTCAACTGCAGCTCCAAATGCACTACACAGTTTGTCTACTAGCAGACTAGCACCAAACATGACTTGAGACCAAGAAAGCTAAGTCCTAGTGTCGGTGTTGTTTGCTCCGCAAGTGCACAAGCAACACTTGAAAGTTTGCGGCAGAGCCCATAACGAAGCAGCTTACAACCCAATTTCTGTCTCTTTCAAGACTGATCCGCTGGCAGTTGGCGCGGATTACGTCCAACATAGCTTCCGTGCCTGTTAAAGCATTCCTAAGCATTCCCACCTTTGTTTGCTAGCTTAGGGATTTTAAAGGGGACTAGAGGGGTCACAAACTAAGGAACACTTCATATTAGGAGCCTTGATATGTAATTCTTTAGGTTCTGTGGAGATGCGCAGAAAGGCCTTTTGATTTCAATCCCATGATGGCATCAGGTTCCAGCTATAGTTCTTGGCCGAGCCAGAGAATCAGCAAGCAGAGTATAACGCGCGAGGTTATTGCAGCTTTCCGCTTCAGGTTGGGTCACCTGCTTCCAAGCCACGCTGGTATGACCAGAGTGCCATGCTGGGCCACGTGAATCATGGCTCATCACTGCCGTCGCTTCGGGCGTAGCCTCAGGGCTACTCGACAGGTGATCCACTTTCCCGACAGGTGAATTGGATCTCCACTTGATGCCAGTTGTGCCCCACAACGGCCCCCAAATGGCTCGATTCCAGGGAGAAGCGGTGAGACCGATGTCCTTCCCAGCAAGTTCTTGTGCAAGAGCACACTGCGGGTACCCTTACAATTGTCAATGATTTAGCAGAGCAGCTTGCCTCCCATCAGCTCACCTGTCGCAAATGATAGATTGGCAGGTTGCACGCTGACTCAAAAGACTGAATGAAGCATGTGCCAGCTGGAGCAACTTGCGCAAACTACGTTGAAAACTGCTTTTGACCCGTCTTCTTTGGAGCTGAAGGCTCCTTCACAAAGACCTTTTGCCAGTTCTTTGCACACTCGATCCAAGCACTGGAGGCTTTTTCAGCAAAACTGCCAAGCAAGAGGCTTTGCCAGGTGCCATACGGACACGAGCTTAAGCAGCTTCACAATCATCACAATGGGTTGTCGAAGGGAACCAAAAGCTGCCCAGCCCTGCCATTGTGAAGTATTGTGACATTACATTGCACTCCAAATCACTGGACTTTCATTAGAATGAAAACTGCACGTTCGGTTCGGCTGCCTTCACGCATGAAGCAGCAACTTGCGACACACACCATAGGTACTTGTGGGCATTCTTTGCGATGTTGCCTGCCCGTTGATGCCCTTCTGTTAGAAACCAATGTTGTTAGACCAGAATGCGTCCCACCGGATGTGCATCAGCGCCGGTGTGGGCTGGCCTGTGTACAAGAGGAATGTGTATTCAGGATTTCAGTTAAGGGCCCACCTTACAAGATAGATAGCATACAATTAGTAAAGCAAGTCTTCCAAAACGTGCAACAGCGAACCACAGTCGGCAAAAATGACACTGAAAACTGGTTGTTAACCAACCATTGAAAGCCCTAGCCTAGAGGCAGTCTTAGAAGTTAAACTAGCTGTTTGCTAAAGTGGTGCTGGAGCCGGAGTGCACTAGCAAATTTCCTCAAACACATCCTCGTCATAGCAGACGGGTGTGGCATGAACACGAACCTACAAGCTTCCCTTAGATTGACATGGCTTGAAATTGATGAACCTCGAAGCCACATCTTCGGAGGTCGTCCGGAATTGAAAGTCAAAGTCACGTGTTGCCAGAACCGTTTGATGCTCCTCCTTTACTACTTGGTGAATGTAGTAAGACAAGCCACCTCGAGCCACCTCGAGCGCAGAAGCCTTTCTCCTAAGAAGCCCCAGCCCTTTGAGCAAAGCAAAGTGACGTTACTGAAACCGAACCTTGGTCAAGAACGCCGTGGGTAAATGGAAATCGGAGCTTACCCCAGTTTTGGGACATGCACCGATCCAATTCTGAAAGATTTGGTTTGCTTGGCCAGTTGCAACATCGATAAATGCCATTTCACACATCGTATGCAGAAGGGCTTTGGATTCTGAGGTGGTGCCAAGACAAGATTGAACGATGGAAGCATCAACATATACGCAACATACTGGTGCCGACAGGACATGGCTGACTCAAGCGACTGGGTGAAGCATGTGATGCTCCTGGCCCCCGCCACCCATTGGTGAAGTCCCATTGGTTGGCACCCCGGCTCGAACTAGGTTGAAAAACTGCTTTTGACCGACCCGTCTTCTTTGGAGCTGAAGACTCCTTCACAAAGACCTTTTGCCAGTGCTTTGCACACTCGATCCAAGCACTGGAGGCTTTTTCAGCAAAACTGCAAAGCAAGAGGCTTTGCCAGGTGCCATACTGACACGAGCATCGCAGAGGCAAGTCCTTGAAACAGTAGCTGCTGTTGCTGCTCGTGTAGATCTCACGCAGATGCTTGTGGACAAGCGAGTAGACCAAGTACGCATTCATGGGGTTGCAGTTGTTGGTCTGTATCTTTGCAGGCTGCCTTTCACCCAGAATTTGAGAGACAGAGAGAGGGTGGGAGAGTAGCACATGCTTCACGTCACTGTGTGAAGACGACAACCGCAAGTATGTCCAACGTTTCGCTGCAGCTTCTCATGATTCAGTGCGTCTTCTCAGAGTAATGGAGACCTACAGAAATCGACATGGCCACACCAGCTGGGCGCCATTGTGGCAAAAGCATCACAAGGGCATCGAAGGGAACCTTCCAACCCATTGCCCAGCCATGCCTAGCACTGTTTTTTGTGAAGTATTGCGCGATTGTGTACACGAATTTGCACTACAGATGCACTGGAACTTCATGAGAATGGTGAAGTCTGTAAGCTCGGCTGCCTGCACTAAGTGACAGGGTTTGAGAGGTGATGTGCAGTAAACAATCCATGACAAACATATATGGGCATTATTTACGTTGTGTCCTGCCGGTTGATGCGCTTCTGTTGGTTGTTAGGTCAGAGGAATGTGTCGCTCCAGTGTGCATCAGCTCCGGATAGCCCCGTTATTTGTGCTTTGAAGGGTCCGCCCTGCAAGATATACATAAACATACATAAACTTAAATAGTAGCAGGGCAAGTTGCCAAACCATGCAAATTTGAAATAGTATCAGCAAACATGTAGTTGTTAGATGTTGTTTGAACCATTAAAAGCCCTAGCCCTAGCTTAGAAGTTAAGACAGCTGTGCCGTAAAGTCAGAAAAACGTGGAGCGTACTAGCATATTGCTTCGAACAAATCCCCATCACAGCAGACGGATGTGGCATGAACTTACTAGCTCTCGGATTGACATGGCTTGGAAAGGCTGAACCTAAAAGCCACCTAGACCCCTTCAGAGGTCGTTCGGCTTGGAGATGAAAAAGGCTTGCCAGAGGCATTCTTTGCACAGTGATGCTCCTTTAGTACTTGGTGAATGTAGTAAGACAAGCCACCTCGAGCGACTCGAGCGCAGAAGCCTTTCTCCTAAGAAGCCCCAGCCCTTTGAGCAAAGCAAAGTGACGTTACTGAAACCGAACCTTGGTCAAGAACGCCGTGGGTAAATGGAAATCGGAGCTTACCCCAGTTTTGGGACATGCACCGATCCAATTCTGAAAGATTTGGTTTGCTTGGCCAGTTGCAACATCGATAAATGCCATTTCACACATCGTATGCAGAAGGGCTTTGGATTCTGAGGTGGTGCCAAGACAAGATTGAACGATGGAAGCATCAACATATACGCAACATACTGGTGCCAACAGGACATGGCAAATTGTCCCATCTCGGCTGCCTGGGACATTTGGCAATCACTCGGCCAAGAAAAGAGGAACAATATTATAGTGTTGATATGTTGGATAATTATATATATAATTAGTACAGTATCAGATAAGTATGAAATCACATCATGCACAACATATAGCAGGTCATACAATTGTGCGGATGCACAAACATGGCTTGCTAGATAGTGTTTGCAAGCTTAGTTTCCGTGTCCGATGTCCTCCTTGAAACGACGGTGGAACAGCGGTCATTACTTCCACTCTTTCCATATAAAGACCAAAATTGTTGTACAATTAATTCAAAAATCGCATCAATTCAAGAACCACAGCAAACAAGATCTTTAAACAGTTTTATATTGAATTTATATAGTAAATGGATGTACATAGTCATAGAACCAATCAGAATACTATTTATATATATATATACATATATCACCCATTCTGTTCTGCAGAGACCATCTCGCATGAGATGCCCAGACCAGTGTGGATGGTTGAGGCGAGTTCATGCAGGCTTTGACGTCGGAGTGAAGGCCTCGGAAGCTTTGCTCGGTGAGCTGAGCGGCTGAGTTCGGCTGGGTTCGCTTGGTGGTGAAGGTCATGGATACAGTATGGTGCTTGTTGCGTGCGGATATATGTGTCGGTGTGGTTGGATGGTTGACTGACATGTTGGCATATTTGTCGTATGACTTTGCGTGAGCGGAAGACATTGTCGAGGGCAATGTTGCACGGTTGCATTGCATCGGATTCTGGAGGATTTTGAGATCTTCTCTTCCAGAAGGTTGGCTTTACTGTTGACCAAATAGCGGTACACCGCTCTGGGGCGTTAAAAGCATTGTCCGTGTCGAGCGTTCAAAGGAGCGTTTGCCGAATTGGATCGCTCGAAGGTGGCTCATGGGTGTGTTTTCACTAAGGCAGGAAGAATGAGAACAGTCAGGGCGGACTGCTTAAGAACGATAACCAGCCCTACATCATCATCAAATCAGTAGATGTTTTCTATATGTCTACATGCACATGCATCTAAAGTGAATTGGCATACGAAAGCAGGTTCATTGTAGTTTACCTTGCGAACCGCTCCTCTCGGCCAACGGCTCCTCTCGGGTCCCTTCCGGTCGGTCTCGAGGTCACAGCGGAGACTCTCGCAGTTCAAAGCGGATGAGTTGGCCCTGTGTGCCTCGGCGCAGGGTGGTGGAAGCATGCTGGCCGTTGCTGGCCGTCGCTGGTGTGCCTCGATTTGGCTTTTAGACAGAGATTGCGCGAAAGAATGGTATCAAAAAGGCTATAGTTACTGTAACTATATTTGGCACGACTTAGTCATGAGTCATGGATAGAACAATTCCATATTCCGTGCCACAAAGTGACAGATGTTCTATAACATGTTCAGCCTGACCTTGCTGAACTAATGCAATGATGACCAGGAGCTCCTGCGGGATTCATATGGTATGCGTAAGCCACACTGGCAGCATGCAAGTGTGCCTCATGTGCTGCCATGCATGATGCTGGGAACAAGTTTGTTGCACCATTCTTTCTGCAGTACAGTGGCTCAAGATGCATGGGAACCCATGACCGTCCCACAACCCCAACGCCAACACCAACCAATCACAAGCACAGAGAAACTCCACATCCAGACTTTGTGCTCCATTGACTTGATACACCAGCGTTGAACTCGCAAAGTAGTTAGGTGCCATGACGCGAGTGCCTGTGATTGACTGGGACCAACTGAATCTTGGTTGGTGATCGGCCACCGGCCATAAACCGAACTGAGATGCCCTGGTCGTTTCTAACCTTGGCTCCTGCTGGTGCCATGTTGTGTGGCTGATCCTTAAAGGGTCTAAACAGGGTTTTAGTAGTTTGCAATCGTGAGGCGGCATAAGGTTCGAAGATGTTCCCTTCTATTTGTCCCAAGTTCTTCTCCTTTGCGGTGTCCAAACCCCACGTGTGCCAAAGCCGGCTCCCCATCTGCGGCCGACCAAGCGGGCCGCGGGCGACCTCAGGAAGCGGCAGAAAGTCCACCCGTCCTTCAGCCTCCCCTCCTCCTACCACGCCGTCCGCGCGCACGTCCCGGCCTCCAGCGACCTGGACGGGTCGGAGATCGGAGACATATGTGGGCGGTGTCGAGCGGAGGTGAGGAGAGGAGTAGGATGATTAGACATAAGATATGTCCGGCTAGTTTGCGTACATTTACCAGGTCCATCGCCATGTGCCCGCACAGAGACTCAAAATGATTCAAAGTGCAAAAAAACACAAAAAATGCAAAACAGTTTTGCTCGATCGATTTAGTTGAAATGTCAAGAGCCTATGGAACGATGGAAGTTGTATTCTTTTGTTGGCCTGAGGCCTGAGGGCAGAAGAATATCAGTGGCTATCGGAAGGTCAGCATTGTCGATGTTTTGTTTAATTTTCTCTTCGGGGCTGAACCCATCACACACTGGTGAAAAAACTAAGAACTAAGAATTATAGAATCCTTGTTTTTGGGTTTCACCTCAACAGTGCAGGGGGGTTCACTCCCAAGCTGTGGTTTGGCAGAATCCTGACATCCCTCAGCCTCCATTGCCCGCCTAGGCATCCAGGAGGTGTGTGAGAAACACCCCCACGAGGAGTTCAAGCACTTGTGCTATCGAGAGGCTTTGGTGGTCCCATTGCTTAATCCGAAGAACACCAACCTGGACAATCAGGCCCATGGGATCTGAGGGGTATACGACCCCCCCCAGGACCCGACCGGGTTTCAGATCAATTCAGGGTTTTTTTAGTCATCATGTTCTTCTCAGCAGACATCAAGAACGATGACGGACACTTTGCCGTGTTTTTGGATGACTGTGGTTTTAGTTGGGGAAGAGCCCGGCTGCATGAGCCATTGATGAGGCTGATGAGGGTGCCATTTTTTGCAGGGTGAGATGCTGAAAGTGCGTTTTAGCACCCAAGTGTCTCAGGGGTTTCTCTCCTGCACGGTCTGAAGATACAGGCAAGGGCATAGAAACAGGGAAAGCAGGATGATGTAAACGACAGACTATCCGTTTCAGCATCTTGGCAGTCACGCAGAATCCATCCTGCATTAAATTAAATATTAGTTGTGTTTTGTCTTTTCTACCTACGAGACATGCCCGGGAAGAGGTTGAAAGCAAGTTTGCTTTTGTTTGCCTATGCACATGTCACCAGACTGCCTTGTCACAGATGCCCGGGCCCATAGAGCCATAGAGCAAGAAAGAGTGTGGGAGAGAGAGCCAGCCAGAAACAATACAGCAAGAGAAAGACTGGGAAACGGAGGAACAACGGAGAGACTCTAGAAAGCGAAAGAGAAAGCAACGACCATATTCAGCAACAACAAGAAGAACAGGAACAACATCAACAGACTCGAGTGATCAGCATCCCACGCCGAAACCGTCGAAACCGGTCGCCAGGTTTATCGAGCACACGTGGAGCGCCCCAGACGTTGCTTGAACAACACCGGGAGCTTCACACTGGCATCTGAGGACTGCAGTGTTTTGGGTGCTGCCATTGGATAGCTATATCATGCTATATCCATTGGTCTCCCCAACAAAATGGTCCAGGTCCCCAGGTAGTCATTTCGGCCAGCCATGGTAAGAAATCTGGAAAAGTTTAATCAGCAAGGGAACCCTGGCAAATGATTTGGAACCTGCGACCACCTGGCCAGGACCATGCAGCCCCAGCCGCCTCCGCCCCACCGGTCGCCGTGTCCCACGTTCCTGTTCCTTCTTCCATGCCGCCCGCGGGACGGTCCGCACAGGTGGCCTTGGAAGCTAGGAAGGTCGATTTGAAGACCGGAATTGGAAGCTACTAGGAAGCTAGGAAGCTAGAAGGACCTACCTAGCTAGGAAGCTAGGAAGTAGTGTCCGGGAAGGTCGATTTGAAGGACGCTACTAGGAAGCTAGGAAGGTCGGATGGGGATGTGGGGATGCAGGGATGTAGATGGGGGTGGGCGGCGGCGAACGAGGACTGAGGACTGTATGCACGTTCGTGCAGTCCATGGTCCATGCTTTTTGATTTGATCCGAAGGCTTTCTCCAGCATCCCTTCCTCATGACCAAGGATCACACAGCCGCCGTGGAGGCCCTCTTCGAGGCGGCCACACGCAGCTCACTCTCGAGCGGGTGGAGTGGACTCTCATGGAGCTCCAGGCTGCCACAGGGTGGCGCTGGCGCAGTTCCGTGGATGAAACGATGGAACCGGGCTTGGTGGATTCGCTACGGGTTTGGCGGGCGGTCGTGGAACCACATGGAACAGGGCGGTCGCAGTCCCGTTCGGGTCAGGTACATTGGTCCGTGAACATGGTTACACGACAAAATCACCGACAGATTCGAACGATTGTGGTGGCCCCAGGTGCATTTGATGCCTCCAGACGTTGAAAGCGTGGCCACCACAGACTGCTTGGAGCAAGCGCTCTTGAAGCCGCAGGGCTCTCCCCGCCGAGGGCGGCTGCAGAGCTCAGCGGCCCGCACGCGCGCGCGGTTTCAGCAGCTGGCAGAGGCGGAGCTGAAGCTAAGATCCAAACCGAGAGCCTGAAAGCAAGGTCCTCGATGAGTTGTTGATGAGTTTTACTCTATAAAGATGAAGTGCAATGCAAAAATGTTCATGCTCATTGTTGTTTCTGATTTACTTGTCGTCATGCAACATCCATTTTGAAGAGTGGATTTGATTGCTTAGATATATGATAAATGTGAGGGAAGACTCAAAAAATGACACCCTCCCGTGGAGGCACCAAGCCCTCCCCCTTTGTGTCACCCAAGCGCCGTCCAAGCGCCAAAGGCCACCTGCACGCAAGAGGCGATGCGAAAAAGAACACCAGTCCCAGGCTGGCCTTCCATAGATCTCAGCAAGACCTGGAACTGTGGAACCCTCAAAGCTGTAATATGCTCCTGACTTAGGCGCCTCACTAAGCTGAGGTGCGAGATCCCGTGACCTGATGGCGTGACCATTTAGGCACTAAGAAAAAAGCAACTTATACTATTACAATCTATTACATACTATTACTATGTATAGACATGTAATTTCGGGCAATGGTGGTATTCAATGGTATTTAAATACAGATGTTCACATATATATATATATATACATGTTTCTTGTGTTGTGTGTCCATACCCTATGTTGCAGAACACTTTGAGTAGGGATCGAGGAGATCTATGTTGGAAATCCATGAGTGCCACTTTGGGGTGGTGGATAAGCAGGCTAATTCGGGATCCAACCAGCGAGAGCAAGATGTGAACTTGATTCTCGAATTATATATGTACATATATGTACATTATGTACATCAATCATTCCATAGTCCATCATCAAATCAGCATCTTTGAGAACTGTCGTCCGAACCCTCAGAATCAGAAAGGCCATCGCAATGCAGTGACTCCACTGCTTCAGTGGAGTCCAGGTGTGCGATCCTGGTCCCGGCTCTCAGGTGCGCCAAGTTGGGGTGGCTTTTTTTTTCGGGGAGAACATGTTCCATTACTGGAGGATGAGCCATTTAACCTTAATCATTTTGCTGCTGGAATTGATTTAAGACCTGTTTGCTGGTGGGCGGCTTGGCATTTGCGTTGCCGACATGCTGTCGCAGACTTTTTGTTGGGGAGCAGCGGGTACCATGTGGTACCATGTTGCCAACTTGTGTCACTGTGACCGCGTGATCCGTGGTGAGTCGTCACCGTGTGATCCGCTCGTGAGAGGTGGTGAGCTACAGACAGTGTTTGAGGCTCCGTACCGAATGAGTTCTGATATCTATTCGCATGGTTTTACAGGGGTTCACCTCAGCTCAATCTCCAAGCAGAGCCTGTTCTTCATCCGTCTAGTTACAGTGAAGACCCGTTCATAATCGTTCATAGGTCAAGAGTCCAAACTCCAACACCATCATAAATCACGGTAACCTTTGTTTTTGCACCTCCAAGCCGACAAAATCACTCGCAAGACTTGCTTCAAGATCGGCCCAACAACACTTGCGGCTCCAGTGATTGGGATCGGGGTCGGAAAACCGCACCGCTTTAAAAGCGTCGCGGACTCCTCAAACGAGTCATGGCCTTTCAGCTGCATTTGGTGTCGACAGACGAGTCGTGGGCCACCAACCTCCAAGAAAATCAGTCCCAATGGTATAGGAGATGTAACTTAAATTTAGTTTAATTCTAACAGCTTTTTGTTACTACTAGTAAGGCACTTGTTACTACTAGCGTGGCACTATAGGAGATGTATTGTTCAACGGTCGGTCATTACACACTTAGTAACAAGTGCCTCGCTAGTAGTAACAAGTGCCTTACTGGTAGTAACAAAAAGCTATTATAATTAGATTATTAAATTAAAATTATCAAACAGCTATTATTATCAAGTCTTGATGTTGTGTTTTTCTTTCGTAAGAGTCCTGCCATATTGCATGCATCGACCATCATGGGCGACGACCATTGGGGCTGAAAGGAAATCAGAGGACTTGGAGAGACGACTTCAAATTGTCCTTTAGAAGCAAACATTGGAATCAGAATGAGGTGAAATATCACGGTGTTTCTGGATGTTATGGGGCGTGAAGATTTCAAGATGGTCCATTCCTGATTTATCAAGCTATGTTTAGTATTGTTGAGTTGGTTGCGGTCTTATAGTTCTTTCATGTTCTATCCATGCAGATGCTCAATAAGAATTCGTTTTCGGGATTGCTGGACAAAAGCACCTCCCCCGGCTCAACCCCTGACAGTTCCGAGGTTTCGTTGAACAGCAGCGCCGATTTGTGCCGTCCGGCGCACCCAGGGCACGCGTCGTTGATCAAAGATGGGCTTTTCTAGAGAAGCTTTAGTGCGCAGCCTGCACACGGGCAAGCACACCGTGGACACCAACATTGAAGGTAAGCAATGAAACATCATGGAACTACTGTATTACATTGTATTACGTACTTGGAGGATATAGATGGCACCAGGTTGGCTAGTATATATGTGTATATATATATATATTGATTTATTTATGTAGAGAGGTCCGTGTCGTTCCATGTAGACTTTCCAGGTTAACAGCAAGGACACCGGCAAGGACACTGTTGAAACCTGCCCTCGCGCCAGCCGAGGTGTGAAAGATGCTGTGCCAGGTGATGTGGTGCCTTGGGCGTTTAGTGGGAGTTGGTCCAACTATTGTGTAGGCTGGCCCGGCTGTTTCACGCTTGACCTCGGTGCTCTTTTTGTGGCTCGGCTGTTTGTTTTGGGTGGCAGTCACTTAATAATTTAGATGAGGAAACATGATTGCACTAGGTCATGACACGTGTGTGGGTGGGTGGGTGGGTGGGTGGGTGGGTGGGTGGCCACCTTTGCCACTGGGATTCAGTGTTAAGACAACCACATTCATCATGTGGATCAAAAGCCTAATAACCCCGCTGGCGTCCCCGCTGGTTCTTACAAAACTGCACAATTAAGTTGGACTAAATCGATTATATAGCACTTATGTGACGTTGATGCAGGAGCTTGTTTTGAGGTTCTTGGCATACTGATTGCCCTCCCCAAGCCAATCCCACAATCCTATGCAAATCAAAGTTGTTTGTGTATGTCCTTATGAAACCTGTAGAGGGGCCTGTGTTTTCGTATTAAGGTTTAATGCGTTTAATGCAGCTTCCCCAACGTTGCTTCCCTGACCCGAAATCAGCTGCGTGCTTGTGCCACCCGAGGATGAATCTGCCACTCGCTTGCATCATGGAGGGCCAAGATTCCAGCATAGCTGATCATTGGTCGTTCCCAAACTGACGTGGTATGCATATTTTATATATTGTACAATGTACCGTAAATACTTTGGTGCAGAGCATGTAACTACATACCATGTCAGTATGGTAAAATGTCAAACAAGTCACCCTCCAATGTCATCGGTCCCCGTGGGTATGATCTTCTTGTGTGTGTGTGACATGTGGTGACATGTGTGCGCATTTTTCGTGTATTCTCTTGAATTCCAGGCGTTGGGTATTTTTCCGCTTACCATCGTGGCTTGTCCCCACAACAGCGAGGCTTTCTCAGATGTCAGTGAGGCTGATGACCCGGCGCAGCTTGGCAGACTTAGAGCAGCCAAAACCGATCATTAAAGACTAAAGATCCCTGAGAGCAGCTGCCATATACAGTAGGTTGTTGTGAGTAACCGGCGACATGTCATTTCTAATCTATATGGTTGAAACTTATTTGAGTTGTCCGTTGTTTTCCAATCCTCACATCGTGCGTCCATTGTTTGAGATGTTTCCCACGCCAAAAGAGGGTTTAGATCCGAATCACAGGCCCATGCGATGTTTCATCACATTCCCAGCCCAGTGGAAATGTGATAAGAATTGATGAAAAGGTACTTGCCCAGAGGCTAGTCTCATGGATGGCTAGTCTCATGTGGAAGACTAGGGCCCAATCGTTCCACCATGGCCTGGTCATCATGCGTTTATTCACCTCAAAAAGGCCCCCAGAAAAGCCCAAGTCCAGCAGACCTTTCATTCTACCCTTCCAACTTTCATAAATCAAGCATGTCGATGAACCACCTGCATTGGGTGGGGTTTTCAGATGAACGGATGGTTTCCTTGGTCTTCGGCTCTTCGGCACCGCGAGTAGTTTGGCTCCGGCCAGGTATGTCTGGGTCAACGAGCGCCCACGCTTCGGACCCGCGAGGGAAGCCCAGAGGCTCGACGGAAAGGTAGACCTTAGAGGAAGTTAATGGGACCTTATGATCATCATCATCATCATCATCAT